TAGGCTTGTGAATCAAGTCTAACTCTCATGCGCACAAAAAGCTCCAGACAGCCCGTAGAAAGTCGCAATTCGGTCAATAAAAGTAGGCAACTACCGCAGTGATCGATATCGCAACGTCAAAATGTGAGGTTTCACGTAAGTGTTTGCCGGACACGTCCATTGGTTCCCGGCTCGCCTAAGGTGCCGAGAAAGTAGCCTATTAATATGCGTATGTTGAAATTTCAAGGTACTGGTAAACAACAGGTTGGTTAAAGACGCTAGCACTAAGCACCAATCTGAGACCATATCCCTAAGCCTTAACACTAAACCGAATCCCCACCCATAAACCTTAATCGGTAAACCCATCACCAAACCCCTTAAGTAATTGGTAACAATTCCATTAGCACTAAAACTCGCTCCTAACCTTTAACCCCAACCGAAACTTTACCGACCATAAATAGAGAAAAAGTAGTCACCAGTCAAAATTATAGTTTTTTCATCATTACAAACTAGATATACGCAGAACTATGTCTACATACGTCAAGGTAGAAGCTGGCTCACATGAATAAAATCAAGCCGCATACGTATTAAATTCTTGACCACTAACCAACCCTTTTGTTTTGTCGAACGTCTGACACCTCCGACTACGGACACGAGATTCTATTAAAAATCCCCGTTGAATCAACTGCTGCTCTCAGAGATCGGTGCTTCGATTTGAACATATTAGTTTGCACATGAATATTTGTTGGATACCCTCACAGCTCCCACTCAACTGGAGTAATTTGTCAAGGAAGTAACATTAATATTAATATATATTAATATGTATATGCTTAAAATAAAGGTACTTTTTAATCACAAACAAAACTAGGATTCTCCGGACGCAGCGGCATTACCACAGAGGTCACCAGGTGAGCTAGCAGTTCCCTTGAGTGTGCCGTCCTCACGCAATCTTGAATCCAACACAATAGTCACCGGGCCATCATTCACAAGGGCAACATCCATCATAGCTCCGAAGAGGCCATCTACAAGGAAAGAGGCAACAATGTTGACCCGTTCACGTACATGGTGGAGGCGATTTAGTCTACGACAAAGACGGAGAAGAGCACAATCCCTGCGTTAGGATTATATGCAACCCATGTCAGTTAAGCAGACTTCTATCCTGGAGAAGATGACACAACTGAGGAAACGTAGAGAAGAACACATATGAAATGAATCCGCCAAAGCAAAGGTAGACCGGAATGGCACTTTCTGGCTTTTTAGCCGTCATCAGCCAGTCATACCTAATCTCCAGGGTTGGAACCCCATTTCATCATATCATCATAGTCACTGTGCGACGGTCTGGCGGGTTCACGTTGTGAGCACCTGGGTAAAGCGGAACTTAATTGTTCCTCTACTAGATCGGCTAAACACATAGATTCAAGAACATTTATATTTAATAGGAGGTTTGGTTCATTTGACCCAACTGTGAAACGTTCGGCAGTGTCGATGGGAATCGAATGCAGGGCAACAAAGGCGAGGCGTAAAGTACAGGCGCAGCGCTATTCACTTCAGGAACCTCATGCCATTCATCGGGTCCATTCAATGAATCTTATTGTTCAAAAGTGGGGCAGAATGGACAGAGCCATTGATAAAAGGATTGCAAGCCCAGAGCATGTACAACTTTACATCCTTTGGTCGCTGTCAAGGTCCACACTGGCTGTGTATGCAATGGCCATTGGAATGCCAGGCTGAAACGCAAAACGTGACAAGGATCGCCCTCCAGGGACCGACATGTTTGTTGTGCGAAGACGGAGTGTTGCTGAGAGTGGTAAATGATGACACAAGACACTCCGTCAGCCGTCCTCCGCTGAAAGCCCTACCCACCGACGCCAACCGGCAAAGGAGCATGGGTAGTGCCTATCAATCGATGACTGAACCGTTACCCCGTCCCAGAAGGGTGTTGGCCCAGGCTTCGTGCAGGGCTGCTCTCACCCTTCTGAGA